TAGTCTATAGTCTAGTCTATAGTCTAGTCTATAGTCTAGTCTATAGTCTAGTCTATAGTCTAGTCTATAGTCTAGTCTATAGTCTAGTCTATAGTCTAGTCTATAGTCTAGTCTATAGTCTAGTCTATAGTCTAGTCTATAGTCTAGTCTATAGTCTAGTCTATAGTCTAGTCTATAGTCTAGTCTATAGTCTAGTCTATAGTCTAGTCTATAGTCTAGTCTATAGTCTAGTCTATAGTCTAGTCTATAGTCTAGTCTATAGTCTAGTCTATAGTCTAGTCTATAGTCTAGTCTATAGTCTAGTCTATAGTCTAGTCTATAGTCTAGTCTATAGTCTAGTCTATAGTCTAGTCTATAGTCTAGTCTATAGTCTAGTCTATAGTCTAGTCTATAGTCTAGTCTATAGTCTAGTCTATAGTCTAGTCTAGTCTAGTCTAGTCTAGTCTAGTCTATAGTCTAGTCTATAGTCTAGTATAGTCTAGTCTATAGTCTAGTCTATAGTCTAGTCTATAGTCTAGTAGTCTATAGTCTAGTCTATAGTCTAGTCTATAGTCTAGTCTAGTCTATAGTCTAGTCTAGTCTATAGTCTAGTCTATTGTCTAGTCTTTGGTCTAGTCTATAGTCTATAGTCTAGTCTAGATAGTCTAGTCTAGTCTATAGTCTAGTCTAGTCTATAGTCTAGTCTATAGTCTAGTCTTTGGTCTAGTCTATAGTCTAGTCTATAGTCTAGTCTATAGCCTAGTCTATAGTCTAGTCTATAGTCTAGTATAGTCTATAGTCTAGTCTATAGTCTAGTCTATAGTCTAGTCTATAGTCTAGTCTATAGTCTAGTCTATAGTCTAGTCTATAGTCTAGTCTATAGTCTAGTCTATAGTCTAGACTATAGACGATATATAGTCTATAGTCTAGTCTATAGTCTAGTCTATAGTCTAGTCTATAGTTTAGTCTATAGTCTAGTCTATAGTCTAGACTATAGACGATATATAGTCTAGTCTATAGTCTAGACTATAGACGATATATAGTCTAGTCTATAGTCTAGTCTATATTCTAGTCTATAATCTAGTCTATAGTCTAGTCTATAGTCTGGTCTATAGTTTAGTCTGTAGTCTAGTCTATAGTCTAGTCTATAGTCTAGTCTATAGTCTAGTCTATAGTCTAGTCTATAGTCTAGTCTATAGTCTAGTCTATAGTCTAGTCTATAGTCTAGTCTATAGTCTAGTCTATAGTCTAGTCTATAGTCTAGTCTATAGTCTAGTCTATAGTCTAGTCTATAGTCTAGTCTATAGTCTAGTCTATAGTCTAGTCTATAGTCTAGTCTATAGTCTAGTCTATAGTCTAGTCTATAGTCTAGTCTATAGTCTAGTCTATAGTCTAGTCTATAGTCTAGTCTATAGTCTAGTCTATAGTCTAGTCTATAGTCTAGTCTAAAGTCTAGTCTATAGTCTAGTCTATAGTCTAGTCTATAGTCTAGTCTCTAATCTGGTCTATAGTCTAGTTTATAGTCCAACTACTGTAACGATTAAATGTTATTTTTAGTCTTTTAAAACTTTCCAATGTATAAAATCCCCAGCTGTAAAACTATTTAACACACCATAAAATATTTTTTGATTAAAACCAAATTTAAAAGCCCACGCTTTCAAGGAAATTAGGACTCTATAGTTTAACAATTATTGCTTTTCTAAGAAAACACAAGACTTTTATCACACACAATATTCAAAATAGTTTTCTCAAGTAAAACTGTGTTTGTTTTTTTTTTTTGAAAACCAACAAAGAAATTTATTATCTTTATGGTTGTTTTAGTTTGGTAGTAAGTGGTTTGGTTCGAAAAAAAAAAACATTATTTATTTGATTGTAGTTTATTTGTTTTTATTTATTCAAGAAAACTTACCTTTTATAGTTAATTTAATTAACTGAAAAATTTATTTTTCGTTAAAACTTAAACAACATCAATCACTTTCTAAAGTTTTCCGCATATTTGAAATGTTTTCTTATGGAAACCAAGTGTTTGGTTGGTAATGTGTTGGCGCTTTAAAGAAATAAAATGTCTATTAAATTTCCATATTGCCCATGGAAGAGTCTTTCAAAACAAAGAAATGAATAAATAAATAAAAATTTCAAAATTTTAGAAGTAAAAAAAGAAAACACAATAAGGAAAACCATTTGTTGTTTAGAGTATCTATGGTATTGTGGCTTTAGTTTGGACATTATTTGGTTGTCCTATAAAATTAATGTTACTTCCAGTTTGATTGTTCCTCTTTGAGGAAAATGTTTTTTTTTTTCAAAAAAATAAACTTTGCAAATGTTTAGGCTTAAAGTAGTCTTTGTCACACATACTACAAGTTTTTATTTCTTTATATACATGATCATGATCTTGTCTTTTACGTCTAAAAGTAACATCATTTATTTTCTGTTAATGTTGCTAACGTTTTGGGAAAAATTCAGTATGGTGTGGTTGTTGTTGTTGCTATTTTGAAAGTGAAATTGTTAGTTGGAAGTTTTTGTTACTTCTATTTTTACTTTTCAAATTTATTTTTAGCTGTTGATCACTGCGATCTTGCATACATATATATGTGTGTATGTGTTTTCCAAAATGTTGTTTTAACAATTCACACAAGAGATTTTGTTTTTGGTCTTTTTGCTTCCTAATCTTTGACAATTTATCATCTTCATTTAGCAAACATTTTTGTACATGTTTTCAAAATAGAGGATCATGTCATAGATGAGTGAGATCTTGGTAAGATTGTCTTATATGAGAGAGAGACAAAATTATGCTTTATTATTCGATTCGAGAGTACACAAAACAAGTGATCGTAGACTGAATATCGGGAATCTCAAGATCATCTAATCTCTATTGATCTCTTGCAAATCAAACTATCAATGAGTAGTTAAACGATCGGATATCTATAATTGAATTTAATTCGAAAGTATACAAAATAACAGTTCAAAAACTGACTATTGACAAGCTCAAGATCATTAACTCTATAGAGGTCGCTGTCAATGAGAAAGGAAACGATCAGAATCATCTTAATTTAGCAAGATCATGTTATAAATGAACCTCTATGAGAGAGGTTCGATCAGTCAGTTGCTTTGTGATCTACACAAAACAACTAATCGATAACTATATAGTGATCACTTGCGAATCAAACTATCAGGCTGAGAGGAAATGATCGGAAATCTATAAACGATAGATTTAATGGATAAAGGATCATGTTATAGATGATACTGATCGTTGTGGGATTGTCTTATATATGAGAGAGAGAGATAGTTATCGAACTTAATACGAGAGTACAGAAATAACTGATCGAAAACTGAAAATCGAGAAACTCAAAATCATCTAATCACTAGTGAGCGCTTTCTTACCAAACTTTCAACGGGAGATGACACAAAATAGATGATCTTGTCTTAGATAAGAGTGACCATTGTTTATATAAAAGATAGTGATCTAACTCAATTCTAATGTAAACAAAACAAGTGATCGAGAGCTGTATATTGACATTGAAAACGTCAAGATCATTAACTCTCTAGTGATCTCAAACAGCAAATTATCGTCGTATGCCTCTTGTAGCGTACTTTTAAACACATAAATTTCGAATTTATTATTATTGGTTTTAGCAAAATCGTCACAAATCAAAACACAATCCATTGTAGGTTTTAAGGAATTTCTTTATTTTTTACACAAAACTGCCACTTTGTAAACATGTTGCAATTGCAACAGTGATTCTCGTTTTTTCCACAATTTTCCCTCACTCTCTAGAGTGCGATCGTGTAAAAAATATGTGGGTTTATGTTACTTTTTCTTGCAAATGATATATTTTTACAATTTTTTCTCTAGATTGGCAATTTGAGTTGTTAATTTTATAGTATTTATGTCGTTTGGGTTTAACAACAAACTTCTAGAGTCATATGATTTATGGCTTTTTCAACTTAAAAAAAAAAAAAAAAAAAAAAAAATTAATTTAAAACAGTTTTAAGTGATTTAGAATGATATAGAAAGAGAACTATATAATTAAGAAACAATGTTGTAAAGTAATGGTTAAAAAGTGCCAAAAGTTGTTTCTAATTTATAGATTTTCATGCAATTAGGAAAGATTAGCTTTAATTTCAATAGTTTTGCTTTCATAATTTTCAGAAATTTAAAAAGAATGAAAAACTACCAAACATACCCCCTTATACATTTTCATTCAATCATGTTCAATATTATAGAAAATACCCAAAAGTAACTTTAAAGAAGAAAAAAGCACCAAAGACTCCCTTTATAGATTCTTATAGGAATTGAATTTTTGCTCTCAACAAGCTACGAATATGTTACAACAAATTTTACCTCTATGTTTAAATGATGAATAAGGTTCTAAAATAGCACCACAAAACAGTTTTTAACTGTCTACTCCCAAATGGGGGGAAATTATGAAAAATGTGTCCGCTAATTATTAATAAAATACAGAATTTGATTAAATTTTATTTTATTTATTATTTTCTATAGAAAAACATTTAAAATCCTCAAAATTTCCTTCATTTAAGCGTTTTTCAAATTCAAAATGCAACGGTTTTAACAGATGTTGTATTAATTATTCATTTAACTAAGCGCCTAAACATAGGCAATAATTTCTACAAACAGACAAGCATATTAACAAAAAAAGAGTAGCCATATTAAACAAGTCATAAACAAAGAATTTAAAAACAAGAAAAATTTTAAATATTATAAAAGATCTTGTAAAAGCAAATAGTTTTAATATAAAAAATAAACAATTTTGACAACATTTTTTAATTTAAAAGCATTTAAATTAACAATTACTTGTATTTGATAAAAACATACAACAGCTTGTTTACATGTGGTAACTCCAGTTTGTTTACCTTAACAAACTCAACGAATGAAACTAAACGAAAAGCAACAAACTATTAAACACTTCACTGTTATTTACATTAGTTGTCTCTTTCTTTCTTACACAAATCTCCGATGAAACAAACATTTTCTCGAAATATTCCCACTTAAATGAACAAACAATTGGCAGTCTCATTTTAACAGTGGACAAGAGTGAACGGTGAAGAAAATATACGGTCTTTTGCTTTAGGAAAATTACAACAAGCTAATTATTTGCTATGTATTACAAATAAAGAAAATACTAACGAAATTTTTGTAATTTAAACCAAATTTGCACGAAAAATATGTGAAATTAACATAATTTGACTACAAAATTAATACCGCAAAAATTTTTGGCGCCGCCATATTGCTTTTCTTGTCTATGTTATCCAAAATCATTGTATTAAAAGAGAACGAACGACAAACCTAGTGAAAAAAAAGTACAATCTCTGGCCAAGTGAAAAAGCCTATATATACGGTTCGTGTTTGTGCGTGTGTTTGAAGCAAACGAGTGCGAGTAGTGAAGGGAGTGTTCTTCTTCGTCATATACAAAAGCGTATGTGTGTGACAAAAAAAGCGAAACGAAGTAGAAAATTTTATTATCGTTCACTCGTTCGTGATGTTGGCAAAATAAAATTTGTCTGTTTCGTTTTACAGTGCATCTCATGTGTGGTATTTTCAATTAAATTTGTTAGAAAAAGAAAAAACAATAATAAAAGAATTGTGTGCTAATAAAAAAAAACAAAATAAACCTCTACTAATTACAAAAACAACAATCAAAACAATAATTATCATAAAAAAGTGTAAAGGAATTTGTTTTTTTTCTAAAAAAAAAAATTCTTCAAATTAATTGCTCATCATCAACAAATTAAGATTATTGCGTAAACTTTTCTCCTCTACACAGGTAATGATGAATAATGTTCTCGGCTTTTTGTGCCCAAAAGAAAATAGTGCTTCAATTACTTTTAAAACTCTTTAAATAGTTTTTAACCTTTAGTTATTACATTTTATTAAAGGTTTTTGTGTTAGATTCTTTATTTTCCTTTTATTTACTTTAAATGTTTTAATTTAATTCCTTTGAAAATAAAATTCCTAAACATTTTCAAAACATTGTAGATTTTTTCTTTCGTTTTTTTTACTTCGTATTTTGTGTCTCTGTCGTCGCCATATTTAAATTACCTTAAAATTATTCTTCCATCTCCTTTTTCAATTAAATTTCTTCTATTTTTGTTATTGCTTGTATTTCATTCATTCATTATATTTTACTATTTCACTTTATTCTATTTTATCTTTACCTTTGCTTACTATTGCCATCTCGTTTATGCAAAAAGCGCGCCACTTTGCCAGTACTGTTCTGTTTTGTTTTTGTTTGTCAAGGCAATGTTGCCGTATTGCTGTTAATGTGCTTTGTTTACATTTTAATTTGTGTGGGTTTTAAGAAATATAGAATTTTTGTAATTTTTGTATTTTGTTATCAATTTAAATAGATGATAATATAATTTATTATTATTTCTTGCTTATCCAAATGTATGTTTAATATTTCATATCAAGAAATCACGTTTTTAAGGCAAGTTTTCTTACAAATTGAAATCAATTTTAGAAATTCCTATTTCACCATTAATACCTATATTTTTTAGTTTTTCAAACAATGTTTATTATAATCTGAACAAATTCATAAACTATGTAGTGATAAAATATTAATTAAACTCATAGTTAACCTCCAACTTCAATATTCTTCCATAAATCCAAAGCCGACAATAAATGTATTTTCTTAAGATTTATATTTTTTCTTTATTCTTAAAAATATTTTTATTGAAATTTCTATTCCATAACTTAATTTTTGTACAAAAGTATCCTGATGCTGAATAGATTAAAAGGTGAATATTTCTTAGATCAATTTCTATAGAAAAAAGTCTTTCAAAGGAAATGTTTATTAGGCAGTCATCTTCCTTATATAATTTCCTATAGAATGGCTTCTTCCTAAGTGTCATTTCCATTAAAAAAAGAGCTTTACAGATAATCATCTTATGTATATACACAAGTGTTTTTCTAAGTGACATGTGTCCTGCTGAGACATAATTCCATAAAAAGTGTATATCTGAGACTTATTTTTATTGAAATTTCTTATAAATGTCTTCCTGACATCTAATGGATTATATTTTCCTTCCTTTTTAGTTCACTAAAGAGGCCTCCAAATGATGGAAGATATAACAAAAAATATTATCTTTACAAATGCTCTTGGAGCCAATGTACAACCTATACAATATCAAACAGCTGATGGCACCATCTTAAAACAACCCAAAATTGAGGGACAAAAGGATCAACCAACCTTTTACTACACCACCACAAATGTAAGTAGAAAACAGCTTAATTTAAACGAATATCACAAAAGTAACTTTAAAATCCTCTTTTCAGGGCAATGGAGCCACCGTAAATTTGGCACAATTAGCCACCGATGATAACAAGACCTGCTATATAGCCCAACCAGTAGGAGGCTATAATTATGCTTTAGTCAATGGCATGCAATTGAATCAGTTAAATCAAGGTGGCACCATAGGTATAGCCACCTTAGATTCTCAAGGTAGATTGCAAATAGTTAATCAAAATAAACCTATAGCAGCAGTAAGTTTTTTCTAAAATATCAATAATATTTTCCTTTAAAACTTTACGTTATTCTAAAAATTTTCAGCAGTCTTTACAGACTATATCGCCCATACAAAATACTATCTCCAATATAAGTTTTAAATGTGATGTTTGTGGTTTAATGTTTTCACATTTGGCTTTACTGAATCATCACAAACGTATACATGCCCAAGATGGTAGTGATCAGCAACATCAGCAGTCCCAGCAACAGGAAGCTATTGTAGTCAATGCTCAAGGTTTAGTGCAAACACAAAATATTATAACCGAAAATGGACAAATGGGACAAATACAAATTGTGGCCACAGAGGCTTTAGAACCACAAGCTGTTCTACAACAGCAACAACAACAACAGCAGCAGCAGCAACAATTACAACAGCAACAACAACAACAACAGCACCAATCACAGTCCACAAATGAGGTACAATTAAATAGCTCCAACTCTAATAAACAATTGAAACTCGAACAAAGCAAATGCAGCAGTTGTGGTGTACAAATACTCCAACCTGTCAAACGTAAAGGACCTAAAATTAACCGTTGCGATTCATGCGTGCAAAACGATCAAGCCCAACAACAGGCTGCCGCCCTAGCAGCTGCCCAACAAGTAACACCCACTCAAATTTTTGTTGCACCTGATGGTGAAATTAAATTTGAAATGAATGAACTACAAAGTGGTAATTCAGAATCTTCTATGGACTCTCTAAATGCCCAAAATATGTTACAAAATCATTTACAGCCGGTACAAATAATTTCCACAAATGCACAGGGTCAGCAAGTGCAACTGGTGGCTCAGTCAAGTAATCAGCCAGCGACTACATCGACGGTAACAGCAACGAGTATAAAACGTGAGAATTCCCATGGTGGAACTTCATCACAACCGGCCAAGAAAAAGTATACTCAACCTAAAGTGACAAAGTGCAATAAGTGCAATGGTTCGGGGGTGGTGTTTGCCGGTTCGGGAGCACCAGCCTCAAAGCAACAGTGTACAGCGCAATCGACAGTGAAAACTGAGTAAGTAGAAATCAAAAAATTCTTACCATCTAAGCTTTCGCAGGCAAAATTTTTATTTACATAATTTTTATTAACATTTTTTGTTTCTAGAAATCCTAAACCTTTCACCTGCAACATCTGTGGTGGTACATTTTCCCGCTATTCAAGTTTATGGTCTCATAAAAAGCTGCACAGTGGTGAGAAAAACTATAAATGTAGTATATGTGGTTTAGCCTTTGCCAAGGCAGTGTATCTGAAAAATCATGCACGTATTCATACCGGAGAAAAACCCTACAAGTAAGCTTTTCAACATTAATAATAAAAAACTGAACTTATTTTTCCCAATTTCCCCTTAAAACAGATGTCAAACCTGTGGCATGCAATTTTCACAATCTCCCCATTTGAAAAATCATGAACGTACACATAGCGGTGAACGACCGTATGTGTGTGAAGTGTGTGATAAAGGCTTTGCACGTCATGCCACACTCTGGAATCATCGACGCATTCACACCGGCGAAAAACCCTATAAATGTGATATATGCGGTTCTGCATTTTCACAAGCGGCTCATTTGAAAAATCATGCCAAAGTTCATTCAGGAGAAAAACCCTTCAAATGTGATATCTGTTCGGCGGCATTTGCTGATCGTTTTGCCCTGAAACGTCATCGTGGTATTCATGAAAAATATGGACAAACAGCGCCACGACAGCCAGCTCAAGTGCCACAAACACAACAAAATCAACAAGATAATGGGTCTGGCGGTGACCGACAACAGTTGGTTATACAAAAACAAGAATTACCCGATATCGATGATGATGCTCAGCATGAGGTTATAATATCTGGTTTATAGACAAACTCTACCAGAGGAGGTGCTGTATATACGACAAGTACGACTGCGACGACATATCAACATCACAATCAAACACAGCCACCGCAACAAACATCACAAATTGTTGCCACATCTAATACTAACTCTACAATGTCATCGACAACTGCCTCATATTTACATAATTATCATCCTTTACAACATGCCGATGCAACGCCAGTCTACTATCATCATCATCAACAGCAGCAGCAACCTACAAATATCAGTGATATGGCAAATATTACCGAGGTGATTTCTATAAATTCTTCGGCTTCTAGCACCATTTTAACACCAATTGCTAGCAAGCGGTAATTGTATGAAAGAGTTTATTTGTGAAGCTGAAAATTTTAAAAAGAAACAACTGGATTATTATACACAAAAATGGTGAGTTTTTAGAATATGTAAGATATTTTTATTGTAGACTTTTAATTTTTAATTTATTTGCACCCACATATTATCAATTTATTAAATTTAATCATTTTTTAAAACCTGGCAAACTGTAATTTTACAAAATAATCTGATGGCGAAATAAAAACAAATATTATTCTCAACATCCAAAGATTCTAAAAGTAAAGAATTTAAAAGTAATTATTAACAAATATTCCGATGATAGAAGTATTATGTTATTATAATATCCCATTGACAATAATAGATATGGTTCTTTATCTTTTGCTTGATATTTTACTCAACTTAAGCTGATTTCTAATTTGATTGATTCTGTTTTTCTTCATTTGTTCTATAGCTGATGAATAATATTGTTGGGAGTTTAAATTATTATAAAGGTCTGGTTCAGTTCTAGTACAGTTCTAGTTCAGCTCTAGTTCAGTTCTAGTTCAGCTCTAGTTCAGCTCTATTTCAGTTCTAGTTCAGTTCTAGTTCAGTTCTAGTTCAGTTCTAGTTCAGTTCTAGTTCAGTTCTAGTTCAGTTCTAGTTCAGTTCTAGTTCAGTTCTAGTTCAGTTCTAGTTCAGTTCTAGTTCAGTTCTAGGTCAGTTCTAGTTCAGTTCTAGTTCAGTTCTAGTTCAGTTCTAGTTCAGTTCTAGTTCAGTTCTAGTTCAGTTCTAGTTCAGTTCTAGTTCAGTTCTAGTTCAGTTCGTTCAGTTCTAGTTCAGTTCTAGTTCAGTTCTAGTTCAGTTCAGTTCTAGTTCAGTTCTAGTTCAGTTCTAGTTCAGTTCTAGCTCAGTTCTAGTTCAGTTCTAGTTCAGTTCTAGTTCAGTTCTAGTTCAGTTCTAGTTCAGTTCTAGTTCAGTTTTAGTTCTAGTTCAGTTTTAGTTCTAGTTCAGTTTTAGTTCTAGTTCAGTTTTAGTTCTAGTTCAGTTTTAGTTCTAGTTCAGTTCTAGGTCAGTTCTAGTTCAGTTCTAGTTCAGTTCTAGTTCAGTTCTAGTTCAGTTCTAGTTCAGTTCTAGTTCAGTTCTAGTTCAGTTCTAGTTCAGTTCTAGTTCTGTTCTAGTTCAGTTCTAGTTCAGTTCTAGTTCAGTTCTAGTTCTAGTTCAGTTCTAGTTCAGTTCTAGTTCAGTTCTAGTTCAGTTCTAGTTCAGTTCTAGTTCAGTTCAGTTCAGTAGTTCAGTTCTAGTTCAGTTCTAGTTCAGTTCTAGTTCAGTTCTAGTTCAGTTCTAGTTCAGTTCTAGTTCAGTTCTAGTTCAGTTCTAGTTCAGTTCTAGTTCAGTTCTAGTTCAGTTCTAGTTCAGTTCTAGTTCAGTTCTAGTTCAGTTCTAGTTCAGTTCTAGTTCAGTTCTAGTTCAGTTCTAGTTCAGTTCTAGTTCAGTTCTAGTTCAGTTCTAGTTCAGTTCTAGTTCAGTTCTAGTTCAGTTCTAGTTCAGTTCTAGTTCAGTTCTAGTTCAGTTCTAGTTCAGTTCTAGTTCAGTTCTAGTTCAGTTCTAGTTCAGTTCTAGTTCAGTTCTAGTTCAGTTCTAGTTCAGTTCTAGTTCAGTTCCAGTTCAGTTCTAGTTTCTAGTTCAGTTCTAGTTAGTTCTAGTTCAGTTCCAGTTCAGTTCTAGTTCTAGTTCAGTTCTAGTTCAGTTCTAGTTCTAGTTCAGTTCTATTCAGTTCTAGTCAGTTCTAGGTCTGTTCTAGCTCAGTTCTAGTTCAGTTCTAGTTATAGTTCATTTTCTAGTTCAAGTTTATTTCTAGTTCATTTCTTCTTCTTTCTAGATTAATTCAAAATTAAGTCTATGTAATTCATTGTTTAAAATATGTTTGATACAAACTTATATTTGATTTATTAAATAATTGACAATTTTGGTACATTTTGTATCTGGATAATGCTGAGTCTAAAAATTGGGTTGTAATAAAGTTTTTGCCAATGAAAAGTTTTAATACTTCTTATCATTTCATTTGCTTTTTCCACTTTTTCCACATATTCATTGCTTTTATGTTTTCCACATTTTACACATGTTCATTGCTTTTGTGTTTTGTGCATCTTCATTAGCCGTAAGATCAAAATAGTTTTAGTTTTTTTTTAAGCAATTTGTTTTTAAACATTCCTATAAAATCTCTTTTTGCAGTCTGGTTTCTCTAAATATACTCTGTGGCCCCCCATTCGATGATGATTTTGACCTATTGGTGCTCTTGCCGTTTCACTCGTTAAATAAATAATTAAAACCTTTTGTTTTCCTTAACCAAATGTAAATAAATTTAAATACGTAGTACTACATTTTAAGTAGTACTTACTCTTAGTCTATAAACAAATCCTTTTTAATTTAATTTTTAAATTTAAGCTTAGCTTTTCCTTAAACACCTTTTTTGTTTTCCTCTACTTATAAGATTATTAAGCTAAATTATTAAGATAAAACAAAGTTGCTTGACAACCTAAAATTTATTAACATATAAACAATTATAATAATTATTTAATAAATAAAAAAACAACTCTACGCATACATCATAAACCTTCAATAATTAATATTTAACAACTAAATTAAGTTCTCTACTTCCTTTTACTTGTATAAATAAACAAAAATAAAAAAATTTTCTTAGAAAATTTTAAAAACAAAAGAAACAACTTTCTTTTAGTTGAAATGCTTTCATAACTTTTAAGTTTTCAAATAAATTCTAAGATTTTGTAAAGTAATTAAACCTCCCATAATGTTAATAAAATGGAAGTTTTTCCTTTTAAAGCGCTTATTTTAAAATTTGTAGAGTTTTTCTTTTAGTGTAAAAAATTGTCCTGAACAATTGTTCAGCTATAAAACAAGTGGTATTTTTATTAAGGACTTAAAAACTTTCTTTGGTTTTTATTTTGCTCGTTTGTAAGAAAAAGCAATATATTTTTAATAAATATCAACATATATTTTTGTTAAAAATTTAGCTAATTATTTAACATAAATGAATAAACTACTTTAAGCAACGATTTTGTATAACATACTTAAATATTAAATTTAAATTAAAAAAAAAAAAACACGTCAACCCCTACAATAACTGTGTAAATAATTTATAAAATGAAAATCATAAAGAAATTTGATTAAAATAAAATTATACAAAAATTCATTTATTTTATTAATTTAAACGCGTTCTTCTGGTAAGCAAAACTTTCGAAACAACAATCTTGTAAGTAAATTAATTTAAAATAGTTAAAAATATATTGTTTTGTTACTTTGTTAAGCCGCATTTATGTTCATATATCGAAAAGTTTACATATTTTCTGATCATCAATCAATATTTCTCTAGAAGTATAAAGTTTGGTTTCAAAAATTTAAAGTTCAGTTATAGTTTAGTTCAAGTTCAGTTCTACTTCACTTCTAGTTCAGTTCTAGTTCAGTTCTAGTTCAATTTAAGTTCTAGTTCTGTTATAGTTCAGTTTTAGTTCAGTTCTAGTTCAGTTCTAGTTCAGTTCTAGTTCAGTTCTAGTTCAGTTCTAGTTCAGTTCTAGTTCAGTTCTAGTTCAGTTCTAGTTCAGTTCTAGTTCAGTTCTAGTTCAGTTCTAGTTCAGTTCTAGTTCAGTTCTAGTTCAGTTCTAGTTCAGTTCTAGTTCAGTTCTAGTTCAGTTCTAGTTCAGTTCTAGTTCAGTTCTAGTTCAGTTCTAGTTCAGTTCTAGTTCAGTTCTAGTTCAGTTCTAGTTCAGTTCTAGTTCAGTTCTAGTTCAGTTCTAGTTCAGTTCTAGTTCAGTTCTAGTTCAGTTCTAGTTCAGTTCTAGTTCAGTTTTAGTTCAGTTCTAGTTCATTTCTAGTTCATTTCTAGTTCAGTTCTAGTTTAGTTCTAGTTCAGTTCTAGTTCAGTTCTAGTTCAGTTCTAGTTCAGTTCTAGTTCAGTTCTAGTTCAGTTCTAGTTCAGTTCTAGTTCAGTTCTAGTTCAGTTCTAGTTCAGTTCTAGTTCAGTTCTAGTTCAGTTCTAGTTCAGTTCTAGTTCAGTTCAGTTCTAGTTCAGTTCTAGTTCAGTTCTAGTTCAGTTATAGTTGAGTTCTAATTCAGTTCTAGTTCAGTTCTAGTTCAGTTCTAGTTCAGTTCTAGTTCAGTTCTAGTTCAGTTATAGTTGAGTTCTAATTCAGTTCTAGTTCAGTTCTAGTTCAGTTATAGTTGAGTTCTAATTCAGTTATAGTTGAGTTCTAATTCAGTTCTAGTTCAGTTCTAGTTCAGTTCTAGTTCAGTTCTAGTTCAGTTCTAGTTCAGTTCTAGTTCAGATCTAGTTCAGTTCTAGTTCAGTTCTAGTTCAGTTCTAGTTCAGTTCTAGTTCAGTTCTAGTTCAGTTCTAGTTCAGTTCTAGTTCAGTTCTAGTTCAGTTCTAGTTCAGTTCTAGTTCAGTTCTAGTTCAGTTCTATTCTAGTTCAGTTCTAGTTCAGTTTTAGTTCAATTCTAGTTCACTTCTAGTTCATTTCTAGTACAGTTGTAGTTCAGTTCTAGTTCAGTTCTAGTTCAGTTCTAGTTCAGTTCTAGTTCAGTTCTAGTTCAGTTCTAGTTCAGTTCTAGTTCAGTTCTAGTTCAGTTCTAGTTCAGTTCTAGTTCAGTTCTAGTTCAGTTCTAGTTCAGTTCTAGTTCAGTTCTAGTTCAGTTCTAGTTCAGTTCTAGTTCATTTCTAGTTCAGTTCTAGTTCAGTTCTAGTTCAAGTTCTAGTTCAATTCTTGTTCAGTTCTAGTTCAGTTCTAGTTGATGTTCAAGTTCTGTTATACTTCAGTTTTAGTTCATATCTTGTTCAGTTATAGCTCAGCTTTAGTTCAGTTATAGTTGATTTCTAGTTCAGTTTCCATATTTTCCTTAAAAAAATCGATTTTTTGATCCAATCTGAAATTGTCTGGAACTTTGTTAAAACTCTTTAAAAATTAAAAAGGGTCTTATTTTGTCTTCACTTATATTTTCATTGAAAAATCACTTCCCTTTCAACAACAATCATTAGAAATTACTTGGAAGTCCTGAACTCGGCTCCACATAGCTTTTTCAATAAAACTCAATTTAATTTTTTTTATTCAATTTCACTTTATTAATATTTCATTTGTTTTTATTTATTTCTTAACTTAAAAGAAAAAGGAATCAGTTATACTTTTATGTGTGTTTTTATTATTAATTTATACGTTTGTTTTATATACGATTTTATTTAGTAATAATTATAATAGGCAAACAATTTTTAAATGTATATTATGTATAATATTCAATTTTTATTTATTATTCAAATATAAGTTCATTTTTATGTTTTCATTTGAATTAGCTTAATTGTATAATATTTGTTGAATTTGTTTTTAATGAATTTGATGCATTTTTCTATGATTAGTTTTAAATTTTTGTTTCAACTTTTTATATAAAGGATTAGAGTTTTTATTTATAAATTTATTTATTGATTTTTTATTATTAAAGCAAAGTTTTTTAGTGAAAGTGAACGAGTTTTATTAATGAAAGTCGTCAGTATTTTGTTTATAGTTTTTTTTTTGTTTAATAATAATGATTTTTAGTTAATTAGTTTTTGATATTAAACTATTGCTTGAAGTTTTATTTTATTTTTTTTTTTTTTATTATTTATCTAAATAGATTTGTTAGCAAGTTAGAGATTTATTTTAATTTTACAAACTAATGCAAATTGTTAAATAGATTTTTTTTTCGAAAAATTTAGACTAAGTAGAAAATAAATCAAATTTAAAAACTTATTCTAAAGTTCTGTTTGAAAATATAAGTAAAACGATTGAAATTCAGAATTAAAAACAATTGATTTCTGTTAATTATGATCAACTAAAGTTGATTAGAGTATCAACTAAAGTTGTCTAGCTCAGTCATAGAACTGAACTAGAGCTGAACTAGAACTGAACTAGAACTGACTGAACTAGAACTGAACTAGAACTGAACTAGAACTGAACTAGAACTGAACTAGAACTGAACTAGAACTGAACTAGAACTGAACTAGAACTGAACTAGAACTGAACTAGAACTGAACTAGAACTGAACTAGAACTGAACTAGAACTGAACTAGAACTGAACTAGAACTGAACTAGAACTGAACTAGAACTGAACTAGAACTGAACTAGAACTGAACTAGAACTGAACTAGAACTGAACTAGAACTGAACTAGAACTGAACCAGAACTGAACTAGAACTGAACTAGAACTGAACTAGAACTGAACTAGAATTGAACTAGAATTGAACTAGAACTGAACTAGAACTGAACTAGAACTGAACTAGAACTGAACTAGAACTGAACTAGAACTGAACTAGAACTGAACTAGAACTGAACTAGAACTGAACTAGAACTGAACTAGAACTGAACTAGAACTGAACTAGAACTGTACTAGAACTAAACTAGAACTGAATTAGAACTGAACTAGAACTGAACTAGAACTGAACTAGAACTGAACTAGAATTGAACTAGAACTGAACTAGAACTGAATTAGAACTGAACTAGAACTGAACTAGAACTGAACTAGAACTGAATTAGAACTGAACTAGAACTGAACTAGAGCTGAACTAGAACTGAACTAGAGCTGAACTAGAACTGAACTGGAACTGAAGAAATGTTGTTATATTCTTTAACATAATACTTTTTAAGGTTATGTATTAAAATCATTTCAAGTTTTTTGTTTTATACTTTAATATTTTCAAACATAATATTTTCTCTTAATTTCTCTAAAATAAATTTGTTTTAATTTAATTAAAAAAATGAAGGGAAATATTTTACTAAATAGGAATTATAAATTTATTTGTTAGGTTAAATTTGTTTTCTTAAATATTTTAGAAATTTAAAACTAGATATATTTATTTTAATTACCATTTAAAGCAACAGAGTTTTAACATGTAAATTAAATTTGTTCTTTTTTTAAGTTAAAAGAAAAATAAGGCATTTCTTACGTTTTGATATAATTTTTATTTTTTGTGGAGAGAACTTATTTTCTTTTTTTATATATAAAACAAAATACATTTATTTGATCTTAAAAATTAGACATGTACATTAATAAATGTTTTCAGTTTCTTAATTTTTCATAAAAATATTAAACATACATTTAACAACTAAAATAAAATTAAGGTTTATTTAATTTTAAAAATTGTTATTTAATTTTCTTATTATCTTTTTGTGATTAGAGATTTTTTATAATTTTCTTTAATTTTCTGCTGTGGTTTTTTTTTTTGTCAAAGGGGGGCTTTTAAGTTGTTTTCTGCTTTAAAATAGAAACAAAAAGATGCCCATAAGTTTTTTACCACACTGTGATTTGTGATTTATGATTTTTTATATCTTTTTTTAAAGTTTTGTTCATTTTAATTGGTTTATTTGTATGATTTAGTGGAAGCTGCAGGTTATATAGTTTTATATTTAAATGATTTTTCAATTTTTATTTTGAAAATGTTTGATGTTAGACATAAAATTACCTGTAGAAAAAGGGAATTATAAAAGATATAAATCCCTAGATTGAAGCTTATTGCGTTTCTTACAAAAATTGGAAAGAAGCAAACATTAGCCCCAAACGAGATACTGTTAGTCCTATTAAAATCAGTTTCCATATCCATAGTGAAGTACATAACTAGTGCATCTTTCATTGTGCCAATGTTTTTGTATAAAGGCAGTCATTATAGATAGACAAGAATCTGAACTAGAATCTGAACTAGAACTGAAGTAGAACTGAACTAGAACTGAACTAGAACTGAACTAGAACTGAACTAGAACTGAACTAGAACTGAACTAGAACTGAACTAGAACTGAACTAGAACTGAACTAGAACTGAACTAGAACTGAACTAGAACTGAACTAGAACTGAACTAGAACTGAACTAGAACTGAACTAGAACTAAACTAGAACTGAACTAGAACTGAACTAGAACTGAACTAGAACTGAACTAGAACTGAACTAGAACTGAATTAGAACAGAACTGAACTAGAACTAAACTAGAACTAAACTAGAAGTGAACTAGAACTGAACTAGAACTGAATAGAACTGAACTAGAGCTGAACTAGAACTGAACTAAAACTGAACTAGAACTGAACTAGAACTGAACTAGAGCTGAACTAGAACTGAACTAAAACTGAACTAGAACTGAACTAGAACTGAACTAGAACTGAACTAGAACTGAACTAGAACTGAACTAGAACTGAACTAGACCTGAACTAGAACTGAACTAGAACTGAACTAGAACTGAACTAGAACTGAACTAGAACTGAACTAGAACTGAACTAGAACTGAACTAGAACTGAACTAGAACTGAACTAGAACTGAACTAGAACTGAACTAGAACTGAACTAGAACTGAACTAGAATTTAACTAGAACTGAACTAGAACTGAACTAGAACTGAACTAGAACTGAACTAGAACTGAACTAGAACTGAAATGGAACTGAAATGGAACTGAACTAGAACTGAACTAGAACTGAACTAGAACTGAACTAGAACTGAACTAGAACTGAACTAGAACTGAACTAGAACTGAACTAGAACTGAACTAGAACTGAACTAGATCTGAACTAGAACTGAACTAGAACTGAACTAGAACTGAAATAGAACTGAACTAGAACTGAACTAGAACTGAACTAGAACTGAACTAGAACTGAACTAGAACTGAACTAGAACTGAACTAGAACTGAACTAGAACTGAACTAGAACTGAACTAGAACTGAACTAGAACTGAACTAGAACTGAACTAGAACTGAACTAGAACTTAACTAGAACTGAACTAGAACTGAACTAGAACTGAACTAGAATTGAACTAGAATTGAACTAGAACTGAACTAGAACTAGAACTGAACTAGAACTGAATTAGAACTGAACTAGAACTGAACTAGAACTGAACTAGAACTGAAATAGAACTGAAATTGAACTGAACTAGAACTGAACTAGAACTGAATTAAAACTGAACTTGAAATGAATTAGAACTGAACTGAACCTCTTCTAATGACTACTGTCTATAAAAATTTAGTCAAACTTTTTCTCTGATATAACACAAGGGGCCATGTGATATAATGATAAGGCAAAACTTCTGATTATTTTTTACTAGACGAATTCAGGGCGAAACGCGTGTCAATCCCTGGGCGAAGTTTTTTACACCTATCCAACATGGGCGAGATCCGTTGAAAGATCGGTCTTTCCGATCTTTCGCATAAAGCGATATAAGGATTATAAAATTGGGTTGATTGCTAATCTAACTTTCGAAGGATTTAGCTTCGGCTGCATATATACTAGTGTTCTTGAGAAAAAACAAATCGTCTTAAATATTAAACCAATAAACTAGAATAAATTTGATGAAACGTCTTAAAATCATTCAATAACTTTTGACCTATATGTCTCTATAGGTAATTTTACATCTTTCAATTATGCTTCTTTTCTATGATCCATTATACTTCCATAAAAAGCTTATCGTTTTTATTCACTGAAGTTTATTTGGCTTATTATAAAGTAAATAAACCAAAACTTTTGTTTTATAACTATTACATTAACTACATGTTATATATAAATAAGCTTTTTATTGGAATATAAAAGCTTTTGTAGAATGCTTTCATTTGAAAGAATTTATTACTACAAAGCTTTTTTATCGCGTGAAATTTATCATGTTTTATTATAGAATATATAGCGTGAATGTTAAAGTACTTTTATATATATATAGAAGAAAGCTGTTAACGATTGCTTTTGTTGTGGTTTTTGTTGTTTGATATAAGCTTTTCGTTTGATAAAGCTTAAGTTTAAATTTAATGATACTTTAGATTAAATAGTTGTTGGGTATAATGAAAATGGCACTATATAACAAGCTCTCTATAGGTAATTAAATAGACATGTAGAGTGTAAAGAGTTACGAGTTGATAGGAAAAGCAAACTAAAGATTTAAACTTAAATTTACATACGAGTACTTTCCAAACTGAAACCCTCCACTACGGCCACGGATGTTGTGACGGGTGACATCAGTTGTGGTGAAGGTGAATTTCTACTTTTACTACTGGAATTTGAGCTAGTTTTACGATGACCCCTACGTGTAGACGATTTTAATCAACTTGCAAGTGTGGCAGTACGAGTCAACAGCTCATCGTCATCCAGTTGAGCCAAAGCGGCCGTAGAACCCACATCGATGGTTGTGACACGATTGCCACCATCAGCTATGGAGGGTAATTTAATAATTTCAGTTTCAGACTGTACGGGCATTATAATGCAGACGAAATTTTGGCCAGTATGAGAATCACGAGGATGTAAAGTGACAGGATTGAATTTATCCGTCTGACCTTCGGTATAGGTTTGCAGACGTTGAAAGATTTCCGGGTAATGTTTGCGTAAAATGACACCACGACGGGAGAGAATATCGAGTATGTTGGAGAGCACTAATTCACGCTGAGCAGTGGAATTGCGCAGCTGAGGATTGAAAGTGAGTATGAGAACTTCGGTGGTGGGTTCGGGCACTGCCACCACGGTAACGGGTAAGGGTAAAGGTTGTTGCTGTTGTTCCAGCTCAGCTAAGACAGTTTTGCAAAGTTTCAATTTGGCACAACGTGAAACAAGTTGGCGTTCCCAGCGCACTGGAGCCTGGCCCATGCCGGGAGCTTCCGATACCACACACACCGCCACATACACCAACATTTTAGAATCAGGCCGATATTCAGTGCTAAGTTTCAACAATTCCGAATAGAGCTCAAGACCCATTTCAGCCGGCATCAAATCCGGCCAACGAACATACGATGCCTCGCCCATACACTGGAAGCCATTCTTGATGAAACCCTCAGCCGATTCCGGAGAACGAAATAGAATCCTAACCACTCCACGACCCTGCGACAAGAATCCTTTGCGTGCCAACAAGCTCAAGTGACGCAAAGAATCGCTATCATCCTTGCAGGAGGCTAACACTTGGCGGCACAGATTTGAGACACGGGAGTGCAGACACGCTTTACGATGTTTCTCCCAATGGGCTCGGCGACATTCACGCGAACAATATAAATAGGTACAATTGTGGCATGACTTGTAATACTTTTTGGCGTCGGCGGGCGTGGCAGTGCGATCGCACTTGTTATTGCGGCACTTGATCTGCAGCTCACCAGAGGCGCTGGCTGTTCGATTATTCGATTCTGAGGAGTCACCGAGCGATACACGCCGGGGAGGCAGGAACGCGGTCGCTCCAATTGCATGGCCATTTGCCGTCGTATTGGTGTTGGTGACGGTGGTGATTGTGTCACTGGCATACGTTTTGGCATTTGTAGCATAGTGTTGGGATTTTTGTTCGAATTGCTGCTGTTGTTGCTCTTGTTGCTGCTGCTGTTGTTTCTGCTTAGTTGCCGCATCTCCTTCACTGCGTCGTCGCAAACGTTGTTGTTCTTCTTTGGATATTGTTAGTAAATTTTCTTTTTGTTGTTGCTGCTGCTGCTGCTGCTGTTGTTGGAGTTGTAGCTGTTGTAAAGGTTGTGGTTTTTGGGGCATATGATGTTGTTGTGTTTGTTGTTTGTTGGGCGTTTGTGACTCACTAACTAAAACGCCTCCTGTTTTGTTTGTTTTGTTGTTAATGAAAAAAAAGTAAAATGAATTATTTTTTAAAGTTTTTGTGTTTCTTAAATAATTTTTCTTTAACAAATTTTCTACACAACATCAAGCATTCCCTTTATACTAAAAAAAATTGTTGTTGTTGTTTTTCTTAATATGAAATTTATAAAAATTAATTTATTTATTTAGCATGCTTAAACTTGTTTTTTTTTTTTTTGTTAAAAGAAACTTAATTTAATGAAAATTAACGCGTTGAAAAAAAAACTTTAGCTAAGTTAACAACCATTTTGCTGTGGTTTTTAGCTAAGACAAGCAATAAGTAATAAAAATTTTGAAATTCTATTTATAATATTCTTTGTTATAAAATAACTAAATTTTGTTTTTTATACATTTTTTTCTCAGTGTAATTTATGTAATTTTATCTATACGAAACTTAATGAATTTTTAAACTGTATCGATAGAAACTTCTAAAATGATTTAAATAAGCTAAACTACATTTATATATATAATGATACATACATACATATATACATATTTTCAAGACCTGCCGATTTTTACCTTTAACAGTATATACAAGCAATAAAATTCTTTTAAATCTTGCCAGAATTTTCATACTGCAACGTTGATAAATGTAACTTAATAAAATATTGGTCCTTCACTCACCTTAAATTATACCTATAGTTTCAAAATCCCTTTCTGGGTCTATTTAACAATGTCCGTCCGTCTATGTAAACATTTTTAAAAAAGTACAGTTCTTAATTTTTAACATACATATTTCGGGCCGCCTCAAATGCTTTAACCGAAGCTATATAAGATTAGGTCTAGCTGAATAAACACTCTGTTTAATATGAATAAACTGTCTGTACTGTAGAAACAAAAATTAGTAAAAATCATACCTAGAGAAAATAGGTTCGTTGTAACTACCGAACTTGATACCAAGCGAATTTGATTGGTCCCACGTACTATAATGAAAATCGATTTACCTCTTTTTAAATACTAAAATCTTAAAGACAAATTTTTAAAAATTAAAAAAAAATTGTGGAAGTAACGATTTAATGGTTAAAATTTCTTTTAATAAAATATAAATTAGTTTAGGTCCAGTAAGATGGACTAGATCCAGGTACTAACTCTATATATATATATATAACTAAACTAAAATAATAAGTTATATATTAACTTAATATTTAAATTATAGTCTATTTATTTTATATACATATGTAATTGTCTATAAACTATAATAATTTACTTAAAATAGTTAGTTTTATATTAAGTATAAAATGTACACCAAATATATAGGCAAATATCGGGAAACTCAAAAAGTAGGACCTAAATAAATGAAGTTCGTTTTCGGAAATTTATATTAACAAATCATATTTAATCAAATTTGAAATAAATTTATCATACATTGTCGAGGCTGTAGTCTATTATATAGTTGAGGCTGTAGTCTTTTATATAGTGGAGACTGTAGTCTATTGTATAGTCGAGACTATAGTCTATTCTATAGACGATATTATAGTCTATTCTATAGTCGAGACTGTAGTATATTCTATAGACGATACTATAGTATGTTCTATAGTCGAGACTGTAGTCTGCTTTATAGTCTAGACTATAGTATATGTTATAGTCAAGTCTGTAGCCTATTCTATTCTATAGTCAAGACTATAGTCTGTTCTATAGTCAAGACTGTAGTCTATTCTATAGTCGAGACTATAGTATATTCTATAGTCGAGACTATAGTCTATTCTATAGTCGAGACTATAGTCTATTCCATAGTTGTGACTGTATTCTATTTTATAGTCAAGACTATAGTTCTATAGACGAGACTATAGTCTATTCTGATGTCAAGACTATAGTCAAGACTATCACCTATTCTATAGTCGAAACTGTAATATATTCTATTCTATAATAGAGATTATAGTCTCTTCTTTAGTCGAGACTATAGTCTATTCTATAGTTGAGACTGTGATCTATTCTATAGTCTATTCTTAGGCCGAGATTATAGTCTATTCTCTAGTCGAGATTATAGTATATTATATAGTCTAAAGTGGTGGTTATGTTCTATTCTATAGTGGTGATTATAGTCTACTTTATAGTCGAGATAAACTTTAATCTATAGTCGAACTGTAGTCTACTCTATAGTCTAGACTATAGTATATTATATAGTCGAGACTTTAGTTTAATCTATAATTGAGACTGTGGACTATTCCATAGTCGAGACTATAGACTATTCTATGGCCGACACTGTAGACTACTCTATAGTCGAGACTGTAGTATATTCTATTGTGCAGACTTTAGTCTATTCTATCGTCGAGACTGTAGTATATTCTATAGTGGAGACTATAGTCTATTCTATAGTGTAGTCTATAGTGCCTGTTATAGTAAAGACTGTATCTAGTCCATTCTATAGTCGAGACTTTAGTCTATTTTATAGTCGAGACTGTAGTCTCATCTATAGTCGAGAATGAAGTCTATTCTATAGTCGAAACTTTAGTCTATTCTATAATCGAGACTTTAGTCTATTCTATAGTCGAGACTTTAGCATATCCTATAGTCGAGACTGTAGTCTGCTCTGTAGTCTAGATTATAGTATATATTATAGTCGAGACTGTAGCCTATTCTACAGTCGAGACTATAGTCTATTCTATGCTCGAGTCTATAGTCTATTATATAGTCGAAACTATAGTATATTTTATAGTCGAGACTATAATATATTCTATAATTGAGACTGTAGTCTACTTTATAATTTATTCTATAGTCGAGACTATAATTTACTCTATACTTAGTCGATATTATTATATTTTATTCCAAACTGGATCTGTAGTTATTTATATATTTATATAAATAAAATCTATACTAATTTTTATAACTATAACTAAATCTCTAAATGTAACTGTATAATATTAACAAAAATAATTAAAATATTTCAGCATAACTTTAAAGAAATTATAAAACTATATAAAAAGTTTACAAAAGCTCGTAATTCTTAAAAGTTTTATAAATATATATGTAAAGGTATAATTGTATTTATATATGTATATTTTATTTATATATTTATATAAGTAAAAAAATCTCTATAAGGAAACTTTAAATAATAACTATTTAAAAAAATATTTAATAAAAAAAATATATATATTTTATTTTTATTTTCATAACATTTCTGTTCCCACTTTATAGACAAAAAAATATATATTTAAAAACATTTAATTCATTTTTTTCATTAAACAATTGCTTGGAGTTGCTTTTTTATGTTTTTTTTTTTTTTTATTTAAAATTAATATTTATTTTTTTTTAACGCTTTGTGGAACAAAAACTTACAGGTGCATACCTGTGCTGGACCTAGCATAAGCATCACTGGCGTTGGCTCCAGTTTGATGTGTTGGCAATCCTAAAAGGGAGGCTAAAACATCTTCTAGCGATGCGTTACTCAGGGAACGTTCTGGAGCATTAAAAGCGTTTGATTGCCAGGCATTAGGTTTTATTTTATATTTTTTGATCGTTTAGTTTTTTTTTAGGATGGGGTGAACAAATTATTACAAAACACAAAAATATTTTTGTTATTATTTTTTTTTCGTTGGGTTTGGCAAAAAGGAAATAAAGTAGGAAAAAAAGAAAAAAATTTATAAAAAAATATTTGATCATTAATTGTTGGTTGCTGTTTTTGGCTGGTTTTATTTATAAAATTAGCTTAGAAAAAATGATTACAATTAAATATTTGATTGCATTTACCACAAAACAATAGGTCACATTAAAGCGCACAAAATTATGTTAAAATTACACTGAGAATATAATTTTTTGAATAAATTTTTTTTTGTTTGGTTTAAATTTTAATGAAATTAAAATTTTTAAAATTTAAAAAATAATTAAGTTAAATACTTTTAAAAAAGTGCTTTGAAATAAAAAGAAAAATATAAAATATAAGAAAATATTCCTGCAGTTAATTTTATGCTCGTGACAATAGTAATATCAGTGCTTTTGGCTGTGAGCCATTCTTTAGACTATAATCGAAACTGTCGTCAGTTCACTAATCTATAATAGAGTCAATGTCCAAACTATAGTCTACTCTATACTCTAGTCTATAATCAAGATGATAGTCAAGATTATTTTAGATACTATAGTTAAGACTACGGTCTAAGCTGTTGATGTGATTATAGTCGAGTCTATGTCAGTTCAAAATCTATTCTATAGTCTATTCTTAGTGTGTTCTATAGACAAGATTATAGTCCGGTTTAAAGTCGAAACTATAGTCAAGGCTTTAGCCTAGTCTATGGTCGAAACTATAGTATAGTTTATAGTCGAAACTATTGTCTAGTCCGTAATCGACACTGTAGTCTAGCCTGTAGTCGAAAGTATAGTCTACTCTATAATCGAGACTAAAGTCTAGTCTATAATCGAATCTATAGTCTATTCTGTAGTCAAAATTATAGTCTATTCCATACTCAAGACTATTGTCTAGTCTATGACAGTGTCTATCTATAGTCAGTTCTGTAATCGAATACAATGTATTCTATAATCGAGGTTATAGTCCAGTCTACTCTATACTCGAGACTATAGTTTATTTTTAATCGAGACTATAGTCTAATCAATAGTCGATAATATAGTCTAGACTATAGTCGAGACAATAGTCTAGGCTTTAGTCGAGACTATAGTCTACTTTATAGTCGAGGCTTAAGCGTAGTATATAGTCTAGTCTATAGTCGAGACTATAGTCTAGTCCAGACTATAGTATAGACTAGACTATGGTCTCTACTATAGAGTAGACTATAGTCTCGACTATAAACTAGACTATAGTCTCGACTATAGAAAAGCCTAGAGTCTCGACCATAGACTAGACTATAGTCTCTACTATAAAATAGACTATAGTCTCGACTATAGAGTAGATTATAGTCTCGACTATAGACTAGACTATAGTAAGGATCATTACGACTTTTACTATACTATACTAGACTATAGTCTCGACTATATAGTATTTAGGCTGTAGTCTCGACTATAGACTTGACTAGAGTCCCGACTATAGAATAGCCTAGAGTCTCGACTATGGAACTATAGTCTGGACTATTGACTAGAGTGTAGTCTGGATTATAGACTAGACTATAGTCTGGACTATAGACTAGACTACATATAGTCTTGACTATAGAATAGAATATAGTCTGGATTATAGACCAGACTATAGACTAGACTATAGTCTAGAGTGTAGAGTAGACTTTAGTCTGGACTATAGACTTTACTATAGACTAGAATATAGTCTGGAATATAGACTATAGTCTCTAATCGAGACTGTTGTCTAGTCCATAGTCGAGACTATAGTCTACTCTATAGTCCAGACAATAGTTTACTCTATAGCCGAGATTATAGCCAAGTCTATAGTCTAGTCTATATCAAGACTGTACTCTAGTCTATAGTCATGACTATAGTTTAGACTATAGTCTAGTCTATAGTTTAGACTAGACTATAGTCTAGTCTATAGTTTAGACTATAGTCTAGTCTATAGTTTAGACTATAGTCTAGTCTATAGTTTAGACTATAGTCTAGTCTATAGTCCAGACTATAGTCTAGTCTATAGTTCAGACTATAGTCTAGTCTATAGTCCAGACTAGTCTATAGTCCAGACTATATAGACTAGACTATAGTCTGGACTATAGACTAGACTATAGTCTGGACTATAGACTAGACTATAGTCTGGACTATAGACTAGACTATAGTCTGGACTATAGACTAGACTATAGTCTGGACTATAGACTAGACTATAGTCTGGACTATAGACTGGACTATAGTCTGGACTATAGACTAGACTATAGTCTGGACTATAGACTAGACTATAGTCTGGACTATAGACTAGACTATAGTATCGACTATAGATTAGACTAGACTCTAGCCTGGACTATAGACTAGACTATAGTCTGAACTATAGACTAGACTATAATCTGGACTATAGTCTGGATTATAGACTAGACTATAATCGAGACTATAGTCTAGTCTATAGTCGAGACTGTAGTCTACTCTATTGTCGAGACTATAGTCTAGTCTATTGTCGAGACTATAGTCTAGTCTATAGTCGAGACTATAGTATATTCTATATTCGGGACTATAGTCTACTCTATTGTCGAGACAATAGTCTAGTCTATAGTCGTGACTATAGTTTAGTCTATAGTCTGGTCTATAGTCGAGACTATAGTCTAATCTATATTCTAGTCTATAGTCGTGACCATAATCTACAGTAGAGACAATAGTCTAGTCTATAGTGGAAACTGTTTCTTTAGTCTGGTATATATATAGTCGGAACGATAGTCGATTATAATCGGGACTATAGTTTAGTCTAGTATGTAGTCAATAGTCCACTCTATAAACGAGATTTTTCAAAAAAAAAAAAATAAACTCAAAAATTTTGTTTTTAACATAAAAATATTTTTCGTTTTTATTTAGCAAAAAAAAAAAACAACTTATAAAATAAAATTCGTAGCATAATAATGTTTAATATTCAATGTTAATTTACTTTAATTAATAGAAATTATTAAATAAAAAATTGTGATTATATAATGATTATATATAAAACTATTCCGATTTTTTTGTTTTTCATAAAATATATAGTAAAATAATAGTATAAATGTGTATAATATATAATTTGTTGTAAAATTGTAAAATAAATACAATAATTAAAAAGAAAATCAAGAAAATTGTTTAACAAAACAATTTTTCCTTTGATAAGCAGGCATAAAAAAATTTAAAACATTACAAACTACAAACATGAAGTGCAATGTATAATTAATAAATTTAATTAAATAATTTAATTGAATAGAATAATTTTGGATTGGTATTTAATACACTCAAAAGTAAATTTTCAATTATATATATAGTCCTTAAATAATTTTCAGTTGGGGGATTATACAATTTTAAATAATTAAAAAACTTAAATTTTAAACAAAATAAAGTGAAATTAATGATGATTTGAGTTGTGATTTGTGTTATGACATAATTATGTTTTCTAAAAGCACTATGTTTAGTAGAAATAAAGTCGTTTTTTTTCGTTTAATTTTGTTTCTAAATTTAGGTGAATTGTTCTAATTTAAAAACAAGCCTAAATAGAAAATTCTACCAAATTTTTTGTCTTTCTTATGAGATGGGCCAATTGACAAAAAATTGTTTTTAAAAATGGGGGGAAGAAATTTGCAAGAAATTTTTAAAGAAAACTTTAAGAAAAGCTAACTTTCGAAACTTAATTTTGAAAGTTATTATAAGCTTGCTTAAAGTTTGAAAGTAAGGCTGAAACTTTAGGAAAAAGCTAAAAACATAATATCAAAAGCTTTTTATGAATTTAAATGAACAAATGATTGATAAGGTTTTATGAATTTTAGGCAAAATTCAATAAGTGAAATAAAAAGCTTTTGTAAGTTATTATTTTCAAGACATTTTATAGTTTCAAAGTTTTAAAACAGTTTTATCAAATAACAGCTATTTGCAAACAAATATCAGAAAAGTTTTATGAATAACTCAAGCTTTTATTTAAATGTTAACAAAAACTTTCTTAACTTTATTAAAGCTCTAAATATTGCACAATTTTTTTTTACTAATTATCTAATTTAGAAAGCTTTTCTTTACGTCTAGAACTATAAAAAGCTTAAATTTTTTTGTTTATATTTAACAGAATTATACTTTTAAAGAAAGCTTTTTATTTAACTTTTATTAAAAGCTTTAAGCTTATTTTATATAAAAATCTAGAAAACTAACAAATTAAACAGAATAACTAAAACTTTTTGTATAAAAATTTAAATTTTAAAACATTTTCCTTGAAAGCTTAATTTTTTTAAATAAAGCTTTTTTGTAGTTGAATTTTTCAATAACTTTTTTGAATTTTTCAATAGCTTTTTTGATAAAATCCACCAAGTTTCTTATGATTTAACCAAAAGAGCTTATCTTTTTATTAGGTTTGATTAAAAGCTTTAGAGATTAAAAAAAAAACATAAAAATTTGCTTAGATATTAAAAATGTATAGTTTTCCTCAAAATTTTGTGACAAAATTTTTTGTTTTGAAAGTCTTACTGAATAATTTATTTTGAGAGCTTTTATGCTTTTTTGTTTAAAACTTCAGAATATGATCAAATATCCTAGAATAATCAAAACTTTTTACATGAAAATTAAAGATTTTTTAAAATTTTACTAAATGTTCACTAAAAGCTTAATTTTTTTAAATAAAGCTTTGCTGCAATTTAATTTTTTAAGTGCTTTAAAGCTTTTTAGTATATCAATTCCAAAAGTTTCTTTAGATTTTGCAGGATAGCTTTTAAAAAAAAAAAACTATTTCTTTATGTTTTATTGAAAGTTTTAAGCTTTTTGTTTAAATTAAACTTCAGAAAACTTAAAAATTTTCTAAAATTTTAAATAATTAGAATTTTTATGTAACTTAATATGAAAATTTAATTTCACAAATTAAAGTTTTTCTGAAGTTATATATTTTGAGAGCTTTATAGTTAAAGAATTCATAAAGCTTTTACAAAAAGCTTTTTTAAAAAACTTCAGTTAACTCAAAAATTTTTTCATAAAATGTTTGAAAGTAAAGCTTTTTTAAAGCTCTACCTTTAGAGAGCTTTAAGCTTTTTGGATAAATATTCCATAAAGCTTTCATATAAAACTTCCAAAAACTTAAAAAATAACAGTTTTTATATATTTTTTAATAAAGCTCTTCTAGATTTTCGAGAGCATTAATTGGGTTTTCAAATTATTTAAAGCTTTTCCCTAAATATTTTAGCCAAACTTTTGCTAAAAAGTTTAAATTTTTTTCAAAAGCTCTTAGAAATTCTAGTTTCATTTAGAGCTTAAAGCTTTTTTATATATTTTTTTCTTATCACTAAAATATAAACAAAAGTGCTTTTAGAGCTTTTAGTTAAATTTTGAAATAAAAATCTAAAATAATAAACCAAAGAATTTTGAAACGTCATGTCATCACTTTATTAATTTTGTTTTATAAAAAATAAATTTACAAATTAATATTTTTTTAAAAAAAGGGGGATTTTTTTCTTAAATTTAAACAAGCAGTAGTTTTAAAAATACAAATTTGTTTTATGGTTAAGGAGGGAAAAGGAGTTTTAAAACTTTAAAGCAAAAAGATTAATATTGCAATTTGAAAAAATGGAAAACTTTTTCAATATTTTTTGGAAATAATTAAAAAAAATCAAAAAATTTAAAATTTTTAATCAAAAAGGCACAATTTTTATTAAAACTTTTTAAATTTTGTTAATTACTTTTTAAAATTTTAAAATCTGAAAATTTATCTAATTTTGAAAAAGTTTTTTTTTATAATTTAAAAATTTCTAAAATCTCTATTTTTTTTTAAATTTAACTTAAAATTTTTAATATAATTTATAAAAATATTTTGTAAAAATTTATACAAAATTAAAATTTATATAATAATATTGCCAAGTGCATTACAAACTACAGTACTTTTTGTAAAATTTCTAGAAAAAAGGTATTAAAAGCTTTTTCTTTTAAAAACTACTACTAAATACTAAAATCAAAATTGCAAAAATTATAAATTAAAAAAAACATTGTATGTGTGTTTTGCAGTATTTCAAACAAAAATCGTTTCAATTGTTTTGTTTGTTTGTATTTAGCACTCTTGTATTTGTTTGAGTTGAAGCGTAGACTCACCAACTCCTAAATTAACGCCACCGGCGGCACTACTACTACTAGTACCGTTATTAAGACCACCGTTCATACGGGTTAATTGTAGATCATTTCCCGTTGATGTTGTTAATGTTGACAAATCAATATTATGATTGGCGTATTGTAAATTATTATTGTTATTATTGATATTATTATTATTGTTGTTCAACAAGGAGGGTCTGAACGAGGAGGTTAATGTTGACGCAGCAGCCTGGGCAGCAGTTATTAGGGGTGTATTTTCAATTATAGGTGTTTGCGGTGAGTCCAAGGGACGTGTGCCCACAAATGATGATTCAAGCCAACATTTTCTAGTTTAGTGTAAAATAGCAAAAGAGAACAAAAAGAGAAAAACAAGATTTTATTAGTTTTTGTTTTTTGTAAAGAAAAATCAATATTATATAGATTTAGTTCATTAAAGGTTATACGTGTTAGATTTTATACTACTTTGTATTCTATTCAAGCATCTCATTTGTTTGTATTTTTATTAGGCACTTAAGAGTTTTTTCTCTACATCCTTTTTCATACATCTTCTGATGACTCATATAATAAACAAGATTGTTTGCGAAATGTTTGCAGCCTTTAGTATTTATTTACAAAATCCTGTAGCAGCTTTTCTAAGAATTTTTACAAGATTTTAAATTCTGTTTATAACACACTTTGACCTAAAGCTCTATTTTTTAAAAATTTCTAGTTTGTATTGACTATAGTGTAGTCAAGAGTATTGACTATATGTAGTCTTGAGCGAAGTATAATCATATTGTTGACTATATGTACTTTAGTATGGTCTAGTCTATAGTCTAGTGTATAGTCTAGTCTATAGTCTAGTCTATAGTCTAGTCTATAGTCTAGTCTATAGTTTAGTCTATAGTCTAGTCTATAGTCTAGTCTATAGTCTAGTCTATAGTCTAGTCTATAGTCTAGTCTATAGTTTAGTCTATAGTCTAGTCTATAGTCTAGTCCAGTGATGCCAGGAGATTTTTTTCAGAAATCCCTACTCTTATGAGAAAAAATCCCTTTTTTCCCTACACCCACTTTTTATTTTCCCTACATTTTTCCCTACACTACTTTTTTCCAAGTTTATCTTAAAAAAATACAAAAATAACATAAAAAACTAAAATATTAGCTCCGTTTTATAATATACATATATACATATATATGTATTTTTTTTAATTTTAGGAATAAAATTTCTAGAATTTAAATTTTAAATTTTGACTCTTCAGTTAAGATTAAAAAACCAAGACAATTGAAAGATTTATGGCAGTATCACGATTCGATGTTAAAAATTTATTTTATGTGCCCCCAACAAAATAATTTTCATAAAATAATTATTTTAAATAAGGTTTACTTTTGCGTTTACTTTTTGCGGTTTACTTTTATAAATTTTCAGAACATTAAATCTATATGAAAGATTTTAGTATGTCGCATGTTTTGTAGACCTCAGTTCAAGAAACCCGAATTTCGGATTATGCCAGTCTTGTAGAGATATGTAGGTACATATATTGTAGAAATTACAAGCGGAATTTTTACTAACGATACACTTAAAACTGATTTCATTTTTAATTTTAAAGTTTAATACATGAAAGGGTATATTTTTAGTTGTTAAAAACTATGAAATTGAAAAATCCCTACAATTTGACAATAGTAAGAAATCTTTCCCTTTTTCCCTACACGTAAAAATTTTGAAAAAAATCCCTACAAAAAGGGAAAAATCCCTACACTTGGCATCACTGGTCTAGTCTATAGTCTAGTCTATAGTCTAGTCTATAGTCTAGTTTATAGTCTAGTCTATAGTCTAGTCTATAGTCTAGTCTATAGTCTAGACTATAGTCTAGTCTATAGCCTAGTCTATAGCCTAGTCTATAGCCTAGTCTATAGTCTAGTCTATAGTCTAGTCTATAGTCTAGTCTATAATCAAGTCTATAGTCTAGTCTATAGTCTAGTCTATAGTCTAGTCTATAGTCTAGTCTATAGTCTAGTCTATAGTCTAGTCTATAGTCTAGTCTATAGTCTAGTCTATAGTCTAGTCTATAGTCTAGTCTATAGTCTAGTCTATAGTCTAGTCTATAGTCTAATCTATAAGTCTAGTCTATAGTCTAGTCTATAGTCTAGTCTATAGTATAGTCTATAGTCTAGTCTATAGTCTAGTCTATAGTCTAGTCTATAGTCTAGTCTATAGTCTAGCCTATAGCCTAGTCTATAGTCTAGTCTATAGTCTAGTCTATAGTCTAGTCTATAGTGTAGTCTATAGTCTAGTCTATAGTCTAGTCTATAGTCTAGTCTATAGTCTAGTCTATAGTATAGTCTATAGTCTAGTCTATAGTCTAGTCTATAGTCTAGTCTATAGTCTAGTCTATAGTCTAGCCTATAGCCTAGTCTATAGTCTAGTCTATAGTCTAGTCTATAGTCTAGTCTATAGTGTAGTCTATAGTCTAGTCTATAGTCTAGTCTATAGTCTAGTCTACAGTCTAGTCTATAGTCTAGTCTATAGTCTAGTCTATAGTCTAGTCTATAGTCTAATCTATAGTCTAGTCTATAGTCTAGTTTATAGTCTAGTCTATAATCTAGTCTATAGTCTAGTCTATAGTCTAGTCTATAGTTTAGTCTATAGTCTAGTCTAGTCTAGTCTATAGTCTAGTCTATAGTCTAGTCTATAGTCTAGTCTATAGTCTAGTCTATAGTCTAGTCTATAGTCTAGTCTATAGTCTAGTCTATAGTCTAGTATATAGTCTAGTCTATAGTCTAGTATATAGTCTAGTCTATAGTCTAGTATAGTCTAGTCTATAGTCTAGTCTATAGTCTAGTCTATAGTCTAGTCTATAGTCTAGTGTATAGTCTAGTCTATAGTCTAGTCTATAGTCTAGTCTATAGTCTAGTCTATAGTCTAGTCTAGTCTAGTCTATAGTCTAGTCTATAGTCTAGTCTATAGTCTAGTCTATAGTCTAGTCTATAGTCCAGTCTATAGTCTAGTCAAATCAATTAGCCCATAAAAAGCAGCAGGTACCAAAAAGGTACTTTTTTTAATATTTTAGTACTTTTTCATCTAAAGCTTGCTAAATGTATTTCATTTTAGTACTTCTTCATACAAAACTGATTTGGTACTTTTTTTTAGAATGTTTGTAACTATGCAAATTAATTTGAAGTTAACAATAGGACCCTACTTTTAAGCGACATTTTTATAATTTTTTTCAAAGTAAATTTTGACTTTTATTTAACTAGATATTTGTTCTAAACTACTTTTTCTTTGCGCCAAAGTGAAACATTTTTTAAACAAAACTTTCTATATGATGACATTGCAATATTTACATTATCTAGCGTTTTGTTTGTTGCCTTTAAATTCTCATACAAATTAAGATTCTTTTTTGGGATAAAAAAAACTATTGTTTGTTTTCTGTTCTTCTGTGTTCGCATTAACGATTTCGCAATATCTTTAAGCTTTTACCATACATCTTCTACTCTGATGATTGTTGTGATGGCGATGATGATTTCACTTTTTAACCTTATGCTCTAATTTCCAAAAAGTACCACACCAAACAAATAAAACGAAAACTAGTTCATATATAAGAATGTAAATTTATATATTTTATATACTAGATAGAACAAAAACAGCTAAAATTTCCGTATGTAGTACGAGTATAATAATAAATACTACAATTATTTACAACAGTTTCTTTTATATGACTAGGCATTAGATAATATCTGAACACTTATTATTACAAAGAATAACAAAAAAAAAAAAACATACTGTGTCCCCACTAAACAAAATATTAGATATAGCGTAAGATAACAAACAATAACAAGTGTCGTTAAAAACTATATATGTTGTCTTAGGTTATGTAATATATATTTATATACATGTATGTTTGTATATAGAAAAAAATATATAAAATCTTTATATAGAAAATGCATGAGTGTTTTTTGCAAACACCAACAATGTTTTATGAGGGTGTGATGTGTATTTTAAGATTTATCATGTAATCCTTTAAAATAAACGTTTAAAATAGGAATATTTTTAAAGTATAAAATAGAAAGGAAAAAAACTGGAATAATCTTAAAGAATTGGTCTATAATATGGCTGAAAACTTGTGCAAACGACTCGATTAAAAAAATAAAATATACAGTATTGATATTATTCCATAATTAATTAAACAGATTTCCATAGTGATGACTATTGACTAGACTATTGACTAGACTAGGACATAGACTATGGAGTAGACTATAAACTAGGATATAGACTAGGCTATAGACTAGACTATAGCCTTGACTATCGACTAAACTATAGACTAAACTATAGACTAGACTATAGACTATACTATAGACTAGACTATAGATTAAAATAGACTAGACTTTAGATTAGGCTATAGACTTGGCTATAGACTAGACAATAAACCGAACCATAGACTAGGACATAGACTATAGAGTAGACTATAAACTAGGATATAGACTAGGACATAGACTATAGAGTTGACTATACACTAGGATATAGACTAGGCTATAGACCACACTATAGCCTAGACTATAGACTAAACTATAGCCTAGACTATAGACTAAACTATAGCCTAGATTATGGACTATACTATAGCCTAGACTATAGACTAGACTATAGACTAGACTATAGACTAGGCTATAGACTAGACTATAGACTAGGCTATAGACTATAGACTAGACTATAGACTAGACTATAGACTAGGCTATAGACTATAGACTAGACTATAGACTTGACTATAGACTAGACTATAGACTAGACTATAGACTAGACTATAGATTAGACTATAGACTAGACTATAGACTAGACTACTAGACTATAGACTAGACTATAGACTAGACTATAGACTAGACTATAGACTAGACTATAGACTAGACTATAGACTAGACTATAGACTAGACTATAGACTAGACTATAGACTAGACTATAGACTAGACTATAGACTAGACTATAGACTAGACTATAGACTAGACTATAGACTAGACTATAGACTAGACTATAGACTAGACTATAGACTAGACTATAGACTAGACTATAGACTAGACTATAGACTAGACTATAGACTAGACTATAGACTAGACTATAGACTAGACTATAGACTAGACTATAGACTAGACTATAGACTAGACTATAGACTAGACTATAGACTAGACTATAGACTAGACTATAGACTAGACTATAGACTAGACTATAGACTAGACTATAGACTAGACTATAGACTAGACTATAGACTAGACTATAGACTAGACTATAGACTAGACTATAGACTAGACTATAGACTAGACTATAGACTAGACTATAGACTAGACTATAGACTAGACTAGA